CCTTTTCATTAGGTAAGAGCCCTTTATCATGGGTATAAAATTGTCTGGTCAACTTTAATTTTAATAAAGCTACTTCAGCTTTCTTTTAAATAGTGTCTTTATGGTATATCTTTTTTCATCCTTTTATTTTTAACCATTCTATGTTTACACGTTTAAAGTGGTACTTCTGTAGGTTGGCTATAGTTGGGTCTTGCTTTTTATCTAATCTAACAATCTATGTTCGATTTAGTGTGGTTTATATTTAATGTGATTATTGATATGGTTGAATTAATATCTATCATCTGAACAGCTGTTTTCCATTTGTTCCATTTGTGCTTTATTTTTCCCCCTTTTTGATGAATTGAAAATATTTAATGACTTAATGTTATTTCCACTATTGAATTATCATGTATACCTCTTTTGAAAAAATGCAGTATATCCTATTTAGTTAAAGTCTACTTTTAAATAATACTCTGTTCCGTGTCTAGAGTGAGGACAGTAATATATCCCCTATTTCTCCCTTCCACTCTTGTTCTATTGTTGCTGATATTTATTCTTACATATGCTATAAATATACAATACTGCTATTTTGTGTTAGATAGGTATCTTTCAAACCAATTAAAAATAATAAAAAATGAATTTTAAACACTGTTTACTTTTCGTTATTCCTGTCCAGTGCCCTTAATTTCCTTGTGTAGATTCAGATTTCTGTCTGCTGTTATATTCCTTCTGCCTGAAGATATTTGTTTTAACATTACTTACAGTGTGGGTCTACTGGCAATGAATCACTCAGATTTGGTTTTTTTTTGTTTGTTTTTGGGTCTTTATTACTACTTCTTTTTGAAAGATATTTTTGCTGGGTATGGAATTCTGACTTGACAAGTTTTTGTTATTACTCAGCAACAGAGATATCACTTGATTATCTTCTGTCTTGCATAGTTTCTCCTGAGAAGTCTATTGTAATTCGTATTGTTAATTATTATTCCTCTACATGGAATGTGTTTTCTTTCCACTACCTTCATCATTTTCTCTTTGTCTCTGGTTTTCAGCAGTGTGAACATTATGTGCCTATGGTGTGAGGGTCCTTTTGGGAGGGGAGCATTGATTCTGCTTGATGTTGTTCTAGTGCAGTGATGGTGAACCTTTTGAGCTCGGTGTGTCAGCATTTTGAAAAACCCTAACTTAACTCTGGTGCCGTGTCACATATAGAAATTTTTTGATATTTGCAACCATAGTAAAACAAAGACTTATATTTTTGATATTTATTTTATATATTTAAATGCCATTTAACAAAGAAAAATCAACCAAAAAAATGAGTTCGCGTGTCACCTCTGACATGCGTGTCATAGGTTCGCCATCACTGTTCTAGTGTCTTGGAACTGTTGTTTTGTATCTATCATTTTATTTTTGAAAATCCTATGTTATTTCTTCCTATCTTTTCTTTCTGGAATGCCAGTTACACATAGGTTAGATCTTTTGGTTTTGTCCCATATCTCTTAGATGCTCAGTTGTGTTTTTCCTTCCACACTTCATCCTTCCCTTCTACTCAGTAACTGATGCCAGAACTGCTATAAACCCAGGTATACAGGTGATGGTCTGACAAGTCATTTTGTTATTGTTGTCTCCTTTTAATTCTCTAAATCCTGTGGGTGTATCTCTTTAAACGATTCTTTCCTGCCATTTTAGTGACCTTGAAAGGGACTGGAAAGAGATGCATGTGTGCAATCTGCCACCTTTACCTGGAAATCAAGTTTGAATTTCATTATTTAAATTAATCTTAAGTGGTTAAAAAAGACTAACTTAAGCAAAGATAAGGGCTAAATTTTCTATTATTTTAGAAATTAATTAGTCTATTATATCTTACTTTCTCATTTTAATGGACTCTTGTATTCTCAAAAACAGAAAAAAATCACAATAATAATAGCTACATTTATTACACACTTACCATGTGCCAGTGTAGTAAATGCTGCTCTGTATTACCTAATTTAATTCTCACAGCAACTTTAGAGTATAAACATGCTCGTTATCTTTGTTTTTACGATGAGCAAAAACTGTGGACCAGAAAGATGAAGTCATTTGTTCAGTGATGCAGAAAGAGAAAGTGACAGACTTGGCTTCTTAACTACTGTCCTCTATCTAACTGCCTTCAACCAATGGGAAGATAATGGATTCTAGATCATTTCTTTGCTATCCTTCATGTATTACTGTTACCTCGCTGAGAATCTTAATGTATTAATCAGCAGATACATATTTAATGCCTGTTATGTGCCCCAACTTATTTTGTTTACAAATACAGTAAATGAATAATTATATGGCAGAGCAGTTTCTCTCTCTTCCAAAGAGAAGGCCCCCCTCCCCCAAATCTGAAAATAAGTTTTATGGAATAGAATGGTATCACCATTCAGACACAGGGAAGCTTGATTTGATCTGGGTGCGCAGAAACCATGGAAAACACATAAAAAATAATGATGTTATTTGAGAGTTTGGGTAGCTTCCGGATTACCCATGCTGCTTTTCACTTCTTCCATACCTGGTTTTTTTTTTTGCATTCTAATTCTTAGCTATTGTACTGCTTGTACATATTCCTTCCACAGAGCAAAATAAGAGGATTATTTATACCAAAGCTCAAAAGATCTGTTCAGAGATTTCAGGAGTTGAGGCCATTTGGGTCCATAAAGAATCTTTACCCAGCGGGGGAACCTGTGACAGAGGTGGGTGCGTGCTCCCTCTGTTGCTCTCTCTTGCGTGAGGAATTGTGAGTGACATTGTGTGGGTATCAGAGTGTGTGGGAAGAGGGGGGATGGGAGGGGGCTCCCCACTTTTAGAGAATTGCCCTTTACCAAGGATTTATGCTAACGGGGGACATAGGCCCACCCTGTCCGCTGAGGATGAGACAATGGGATATGACTCAGTAACGAGTTCTCCTTTGTCAGGTGTCAGCTTGCTGATATGGTCTAAGGATAAGGGGTTCAGTAATTCTTATAAAAATTGGAAATAACTCTACCGTTTACACTGTAGTTTCTCTTCCAGTTTCATAGCTGTTTTAATTCCACCCAATTGTACGAGGAGCCTGAAATATGTAGTGGCATTTCTATTTTCTAGATGAGTAAGTACCTTCTGAGAAGTGAGATGGCCATGTCCAAGGTCACGCAGCGACAGTATTTGACTTCAGACTTGAATCCAAGTCCTCGCTCTGGACTTACCTTTCCCCCCCCATGAAACTAAGCAGCCTGTCTGTTGTACAGAATCCATTTATGTTGACTATTAAGTGTGTTTGCCCACATGCTGGACTCTTAAGCATTTGTATTTATAAGATAATTTACTGATCGGTCGCAGCGGCTAAAAGAGGCAGCCTGTTTTTTTAAATTAAGCCTTTTGTCTCCTTTTGGTCCAACAGGAAGCGAAGTTGGTCACACGGATGCACCAAGTCCCTCGTGATGTCAGTGAGGCCGCATCCACGCTCTGGGTGGAAAGACGCTGAGTCTTCCAGACGCTGGGTGTCCAGAGGAGGCCAGGGTTCTCCAGGTCGTGCTGTTTCAACCAGCCCCCCCTTCCCCCGACGAGGGTCCGACGCCGCTCAGCAGGAGGAATGGGGACCCAAGGTGGTGGGACTGGAAGGGCGGCCTCCCCAGCAGGTGAGGCGTTGACTTCCCTTTCATCTCATTTACACTCCAGGTTGCCCCCTGGGGTCAGTGCCGCTGATTCTGACGCTTGCACTCATGGTCTTTGTTTTGAATGGAGAGAAGGGGGGAAATACTGATACCCCGGTAGCTGCAGAGCAAATCTGCCCAACGTGGATCTCTTTCTCCATCGTGAATGACACCCATCTCTACAGTCCTCCAAAAGCATCACTGTGGCCGGCTTCCTGTCTGGGTGGGATGGCGTCACCCTTTATGAGTTTCCAGGTGACACTATGTTTCGGGAAGAATTCTCTCCAGAAACCATTTTTAAAATGATTATCAAATTCCTTAATGAAGAATCAGAAGCCAAACCGGCGAGGCTAAGCGCGCAGCCAGCCAGCTGGCATGGGCTGATCCGGTCCCTCCCGGATCTAAACCGTCCGAGAGGATCGACGAGAGAGCTCAGCGTCTACCCCAAGCCATCCAGGGCGAGGGCACAGCCACACCCGGGTCTCCCGTGTATCCCGAGTGGCCTGAGCCTGTCCAGTGCATTTCGAAGTACGTGAGCCTGTGATCCTTGCCCACAGCCATGCCCTCTGGTGAGAGAGCGTGATGGTTCCGGTGAACCTGCCCCTGGGCCACACTCTCAATAGCCTCCTTTTGTTCCAACAGCAATAGTTTGAAACAAGGGCTTGAATAGATCATGCACCTTGTCCAAGGTCACCAGCTACTAAACGGCAAGGTAGGACTTGAGCCTACTTGTCGGCCTCCAACCATCTCTTCATTGTCGCTACTGAGATCATGGTTTCCTTGGTGTAACTGTTGGATCTGGAAAATGTGGGCCCAAGAGAACTCTTAAACATGACATTACACCTCTTCGCCTTCCTGAGAGTCTTGTTTAAAAAAGAAACCGGAGAAAGATTTCATGACTATATCTATCTAGCATTTGTGTACAATATTTATATTTACAAAATGCGTTCCAGTGTCATAGAACAGACAGGTTTTTATTTGGGCATATAATTGTCTACTCTTTCATATTCATGTATGCCTGTGATTCATATTGCAGTATGTTTTCGACGTGGTCTTCTGAGATCATGTACAATGGTAACAGATTTAAAATAAGATTAATAAAGATTACTCCGTGTCACTCCCAGGGAAAACCGACCAGGGCCACCCAGGCTCCGCGTTTCATAAACATGATGCAGAAGAGCCTAGATCAGTGATGGCGAACCTTTTGAGCTCGGCGTGTCAGCATTTTGAAAAACCCTAACTTAACTCTGGTGCCGTGTCACATATAGAAATTTTTTGATCTTTGCAGCTATAGTAAAACAAAGACTTATATTTTTGATATTTGTTTTATATATTTAAATGCCATTTAACAAAGAAAAATCAACCAAAAAAATGAGTTCGCGTGTCATAGGTTCGCCATCGCTGGCCTAGATGGTCCCCAGAACACGGTCTGTAAGGCCCGCTGCTCGTCCCTGGTGCAGTAAGACCACATCCAGCTCCTGTTCCTTCTGCACACCGCGTGTCCACCTGCTGCCCTTGAGGTGGTCGGCTCGTCAGCACCCGGGATGAGGAACTGCCGTGAGCATGAGCCTCACCCCGCGCTTTCCTCTTTGTTCCACAAGCCACACCCTTCACGGAACTTTCTCGTGGACGGTTTCCTTTGCCTAGAAATCTCTCCCCCGAGGGTCACACAACTGCCGCCCTCCCTGCCTTCAGGCCTGAGATCCGGGGGCGCCTTCTCCAGGAGGCCTGTCTGACCACAGATCCCAAAGCCCCGCAGTGGCATGTCCGGGTGTTCTCTCCCTCTTCCTCTTCAGCGGGTGGTGCTCTGTGTTAGGAAAACTGCAGTCCCGGGGTTTGGTGAGAATACATTTTTAAAAAACGATTGGTAAGCTTATATTTTGTCATTGTTCAGTTGCTGCCATCTGCCGTAAAGTTAATGAAGAAGGAATCTCGTTGGTGTGAAGTAAGCTGAAGGCGTGCACCACACTCCCTGTCTTGTAAGGAATCAGATCGTCGCTGTGGAGGGCGTGCAAACACTGGGCTGGGGCAACGCCTCTATCTGGTCACCTTAGCAGTGGTTCCCAACCTTCCTAACGCCGCCGCGACCCTTTAATACAGTTCCTCATGTTGTGGTGACCCCCAACCATAACATTATTTTCGTTGCTACTTCATAACTAATTTTGCTACTGTTATGAATCGTCATGTAAATATCTGATATGCAAGATGTATTTTCATTGTTACACATTGAGCATAATTAAAGCATAGTGATTCATCACAAAAACAATATGTAATTATATATGTGTTTCCCGATGGTCTCAGGTGACTCCTGTGAAAGGGTCATTCAAAGGGGTCGCGACCCACAGGTTGAGAACCGCTGCCTTACAGGTTCTAAATAACTTGTGGGTATGATCAGCAGCTTATACAGTCGTGTGTCGCCTAATGACAGGGATGCCGTCTGAGAATGTCCCCGGGTGACTCAATTGCACACACTCCCTAGGGACCCCCAGTGGACAGCGGCCATGCAGAGACATAGCGTGTTCAGCCATGGAGCATTGGGGGTTATTTTTATTGCCGCAGAGCCTATCCTATCCTGACTACTTCAAGGACTTTCCCCAGGAACGTGCCCCTGCTAACTCCTTAGAACTTTAATTTACCTCCAGCCTGGTAGAGTGGAGAGAAGCAAATCCTTTGCCACACGAAGTGCCGGGCATTACCTATCTGAGCTCCTCTAAGTCGGTAGACTCAGTGAAAAGAAAAGAGAACTAATGGCTGTTGACTTCCTGCTCCATCCCGGGCCCCGGGCTGGATGCTGTGGAAGCTGCCAGCTTTAGACGGGTTTGGTTTTCACATCACAGATGCAGCCGAGCTCAGGAGCGGGCGGATGGCGTGTCTGAGAACCCCCTGGCCAGCAGGTGTCAGAGCCGGCACCAGGACCACGTCCCTCTGACGTGGAGAGCCGTGCCCTTTTCCTGTAGCGTAAACAGACAGGTGATGAGCTTTTAATCCCTCACAGCCTGTTGGTATTTCACTCCTAACCATGTTCTCTTTCACACTAACGTTCGCTGGATCACTTTACGATTCAGAGCTACTCTTCTTAAAATTATTTTGTTCATTTCACCCAGATTTGTTTTTACTGAGCCTTGACACCCAGGGCGCTACAAATCTGCGTGTTTGTTTAAACTCCAACCGAACACGCTCGTGTTTGTTTTAAGTCAGAATATCGTCGCCAAGATATCTGGAAATGCCTCCTCCGTGGCTACAGGCTTTTATTTTATTTTTTAAGTGAGGTTTGCCCTTTACGGCAAGGACCTTACAGGGATGTAGATGCCGTGGAGAGGGGGCAGGTTTCTGTGCGAAGAGGGGAGCACAAGGGCCACGTTCAAGTAACAGGCCCTGTGGTCCACGGTGCCTTTTCAGCTGCCATCTCTGTGGCCACAGAACCGTACAACCCGTCTGCTTCAGGGAAGCCCCAGTGTCAGCCGCGGGGCCTCACCAAGACATGAGGAGATGGCCCTGCAGACCCACAGCTCGCCCGTCCGTCTGTCCGTGCTGGTGGGCTGGTCCCGGGGCTGGTCGAGTGCAGCCACGCCCTCCATGCAGAGGTGGGCGGAGGGCCTGCCCCCGCCTGCATCCTCTGGCTCCTGGTGGGGCTCCCCCATGAGAACCAGGGTCGTCCTCAAGTGTAACAGTATTAATTATCAAGTCACTTTAAAACACGTGTGATGTATGTGCGCATTTATTCCACAGGAATGGGATAAAGATTAAATACTTAATGAATCCATTTTTCATATCAAGGGTATATTTGCCCTGCGCCTAACTCTATCTCTCTCCCTTCTGTTTCTCATGAGAAATATCGCTATCTTTATTATGTAATCAGTAATATATCATTCCTTCTAAGCAGGATCTAATTTTAGCCGCATGATGAATGGCCCAGGGATGTGTTCCGCTGCCCTCCGCGGAGAGGAATATACATCAGACCTGCTCAGGTGTGTGTCATTTCTCTATACCTGGGAGCTTTCAGCCCCCGAGTGGCAGCCTGGATTTTTCTGGCCGAAAGCCCCAGGTTCTGCCTCTGTTTTTGTCCTGGGTAGACGGTGTTCGGAAACGGCCCTGTGTGGGCAGTGTGGGCAGTAACCAGGTGTGTGAGCTCCAGGCAGTGAGCTGTGTGCTCTCCTGCGCCTGGGTTTATCGAAGCGGCTAGAAAACGACCAACTGGGCTTTTTTTTCCCCCTTCATTGATGTGCAGGATCTGCTTTTGTAGGACTACACTCAAGTCCCCGTCACTGTCTACCATAACTCCCCCCGCTCCCCCCAGTTTTGTGTTTCAGCAGTGATGTTTCTTGAAGATGCAGGAATCACCCCGCGTTAACTAGGAACATGAGGACTTGGCGACTTTGTTTTTCTTGAGTTTCTGAGAAGAAAACATCACTTTCTGTTATGCGACCTCTGAGTTGCACAGCTGCTTCTGCACATCTGCAGCGCCTGACGTCTCGAGGACATGTTAATCTTAAACACTAGTTTGCACTCATCTTTAATTGATCTGTAGGAGAATCAGAATGGTGCCTTGTCTAATTTCAGATGTGAAAATGGAGGCTCAGAGAGATGAAACCGCCTGCTCAAGTTCTGGGACATGGCCCGGTAAGGAATGGAACCCAACACCCCTCACCACCCCCTGCCTTTGCTTAACTTCAAATGGCACCTGAATACGATGGAAGACACTGTTAGGAGTGTTTGGTTTTGCAAAAATTGTGTGTGTGTGTGTGTGTGTGTGTGTGTGTGTGTAATTGATAACACCCTCTATTGTCCACTTTCCCTTCCTGTCTAACTTCTTCACTTCATATATACATATCTATATATATAAAAGCCTAATATGCGAAGTGTCCCCTCGTGAGTTCAACCGACCGGTAGTTCGATCGCTCGCTATGATGTGTGCTGACCACCAGGGGGTGGTGTGGAATAAAGGGAGGCCCCAGCCAGCAGCCGCTAAGGACCCTACCCGCGCACGAATTTCGTGCACTGGGCCTCTAGCTCTGAAATTCTTTGTGCAACTATTTTTGTGTGTGTGTGCAACTATTATGTTTGTTGGTTTTAACACGCACTTTTTTCTTGCATTAGTATCTCTGAAACTGTGATACATCTTGTAATCAAAGGGGTATCATAATCTAATTAGCAGGTTTTCTTTTCTTAGTGGTTACAGCAGATTGATGCTTAAACTGTGCCGAATCCTCGCCCCGCTCTGTCTGCATGCCCTGTGCAGTGTCACTTTGCAACTCCTCCCATCCAGCGGTCAAGTCCATGTCTCCTTGCCTTGACAATGGCCTCGTCTTTATTTATTGCTGTCGAGGATGCTGTGGGTGCCCGACCTGTTCCCTTTTGCCCTGACAGTCAGCCTGCCTGACTTCCGAGTGCACCTGCATTTTCCTGCCTGGGGCTGTCTCTGGCTGCCAGAGCCCGTTCTGCCTGCTGTGATGCCTTAAAAATACATTCGCAGATACTGACTCTCCTCCCTCTTCTCCCCTTGAATAGAAGCCAGACTTCATGACTTGACTTGCTTCTGTCGCCCGGGATGTGGTGGTATGACAGTGGGACTGTCACGACTCGGCCATGAAAGGCACCGTGGCCCTGCTGCCTCTCAGATCACTCATTTGGGGGGGGGGGGTGGGTGGGGAGGCGAGCCATATGCCTCAGAGGACACTCCAGTGGTCAAATGGAGAGAGAGGTCTGCATGGGAAGCAACTGAGGCCTCCAGAGAAAGCCTGCACCGACTGGCCAGCCCCGTGAGTGAGCCATCCTGAAGCAGATCTTTCAGCTTCAGTCTTTACGTAACAAAAGCCCTGCCAATTCCTAACTGTAACCTTATGAGGAACCCTAAGCCAGAACCAAGTAGTGAAGCTATTCCAAAATTCCTGACCCTGACAGGCAATATGAGATACTAAATATTGTAATAAGCCATGAAGTTTGGGATAATTTATTGCACGTCAGTGTATAAATAAACCCATCCACGTGGCAGGCTGGAAATGCTGGCGGGTTCCCTCTGCAAGCATCCCTGAACCCATGACACGCAGTAGCTTGTATAAATACCACAGCTTCCCCCCCCTCCCCCCCTCCCCGCGGGAGCGCTGAACTCCTAGGGTTTCCCCAGGGGGATAAAGTTCCAGGCCCTCAGAATAGCACCTGGGTTGATAATGCCCTTTACCGCCCCCTCCCTTCCCTGTCTCACTTCCTCACTTCCCTGTTGGTGTTTCCTCCCATATGAGTTGCTCCCAAATCCCTGTCTCAGAATCTCCTTTTTAAGGGGAATGGGGGATGAAAACAAGGTCAGTTCCATGCCAATTTCTTGTGCATTACTCATCAATTTTCTTTCCGTGGCTTCAACTCGGTAGCACCAACCCAAGCTGATGAAAAACAATATAAACAACAACACTCCCACTTTGCACTTATATAAATATAGATGAAAACATATCCTCCTCCCCAGTTTTTGACATAGTTTCAAAACTCGAAACCGATTATATATATATATATATACATATATGGGTATATATATATATATATATATATATATATATATATATATATCTCTCTAGTGCCAGCAATAAAGAGGATACTCAAAGTTACAGTGGTAACGGGGAGGTGGAATGAAAATGCTCACATGGAGTCAGGAGGAGGGAGAGGCTGTAGCAGCTGAAGTTCTGTGAGGACAGTTCTGTGGGGCTGAGCCCCACAAGTGCCAGGGGCAAGAACCAGGCTGCTGCGTAAAGCCAGGGGCCCTGCAGTCCTTCTCTACCATCCCCTGAATCCGGGACCACAGACACCAGCCACTGGCCTAGGGCCATGGTCGGCAAACTGCGGCTCGCGAGCCACATGCAGCTTTTTGGCCCCTTGAGCGTGGCTCTTCCTAAGCCTTAGGAGTACCCTAATTAAGTTAATAACAATGTACCTACCTATATAGTTTAAGTTTAAAAAATTTGGCTCTCAAAAGGAATTTCAATCATTGTACTGTTGATATTTGGCTTTGTTGACTAATGAGTTTGCCGACCACTGGCCTAGGGGAATGCAAAAGAGCTCGTCGTTTTCCTGGCCCAGGATAGTAACAGAAATCACAGATAAATAAATAAATACATGAGGAGTCTGTGCCAAAAATAGTACAAAGCCTGAATTTCTATTACGCGTGCGCTATGGGGACCCACAACTAAGAAATGAACCTAAAATCTTGCCCAGAATTGGCCAAGCTCAAAATACTCCCGCAGGGACGCTCTAGAGCAGCGGTCACCAACCTTTGGGACCTCACGGTTGCCAACTGCTGCTCTAGAGCATGTGAAGTTTCTGTGGACTGCCCTTTCCCTCTCATCTTCAGAAAGAAGAGTTAGCATGAAGAAAGGAGAACAGGAAAGAAAAAAAACACAGAGGGCACCAGTAGACAAAACAAATGGGAGAATTTTCATCTCAAGCACTGGAAATAATAGCACAATCTAAAAAAGACTTTAAAATAAGCGTTCTAAAACATTTTAAGACATAGAGACAGTAACAGTAATCACAAAGCAAATAACACAATGATCTGCAAACAGAGTTGGGAAAAATTCTAAGAATAAAAAGTAGAGTAATAGAAACAAAAACCAAATGGATAAGTTATATGTTCCTGCTATAAAGTAGATATTGCTGATGAGACAATACGTGAATTGGAAGACAGATCTGAGGAAATCGCCTAGAATATAACACCAAAGATAAAGAGATAGAATATATGAAATTGATCAAATGATAAGGTCCTACATACGTTTACTAAGAGTTCCAAATGGGAAAAAATAGAGTCCGAGGCAAAGAGATAATAGTCAAGAATTTTTATTACCTAACACATGAGTCTTCAAATTGAAGCACACCAGGTTCCATGTTGCATAATTAAAAGCAAACCCAGTTTTCATCACGGTAGTTCAACTTCAGAGTCTTCACCTTAAAAACTGTCCAAGAGGAAAAAAAACAAAATTACCTTCAAATGGACGACAATTGGCAGAATATGGCGCGTATGTTATAGGTGTAGTTATAAATGCCCGGGAAGGATGCATTTAAATTTCTGAGATAAAATCCATTGCTCCGGAGTGAAAATAAAGTCGATTTCAGATAATCAAAAGGCTGTTTCGGCCAGTAGCACATGAAGATTCGCCTCATGTGAAAAAGGGGAAATAAGTGTGCCATGTGAAGCACCCGGTACAGGACATGGCACAGTGAAAGCGCTCAGTAATGTGTAACTGAGGTTATTATCGGCTAAAATGTATAAACCCGGGGCCACGCGTGAGATAACCCAGTTCTCTCCCATCCACATTGCCAGCCCATGACAGAGTGGCATTTTTCTACCTTCTAGAAAATGTGTAACCGCCATGGTATTTGTATTCACCCATAAAATGCAAACCTGCCCATGCTGGTTTGGCTCAGTGGATAGAGCGTAGGCCTGTGGACTGAAGGGTCCCAGGTTCAATTCCAGTCAAGGGCACATGCCTGGGTTGCGAGTTCGATCCCCAGTAGGGGGCGTGCGGGAGGCAGCCAATCAATGAATCTCTCTCATCATTGATGTTTCTATCTCTCTCCCTCTCCCTTCCTCTCTGAAAACAATAAAACATATATTAGAAAAAAATGCAAGCCTAACGACCTATGTCTTTTCCTACAGAATTCGTAAGACCTGCTGAGCGGTTCTCCACTTCCCAGTCCCCGACACGGGGACGGCAGCGGCGTAGGTTGAGATGGAGCCACTGGCAGCCTGGGTTCCTAAATGACCAGGCTGAGCAGAGCTCCCCTGCACCCCAAGTGGACACACAAAATGGGTGAGAAACACACTTTTGCTGTGTGAAGACCCCTGAGATTTCAGTTGTTTGTTCCTGCAGCAAAACCTACCCCATCCTGACTAATAGTGTGCATCGAAAGTCAAAATATTTTTTCCTTGTAGGAAAAAAACCCCCCAAAACGACCTAAAGCCAGGCCTTAGAACTCACTGGGTCTTACTTACAACCACTTCTGTTCCACTTGCTTATGTGTTTTTCCATCTCACAGAACCTTAGAAGCAAAATACTTGAAGAGATGCCGGCGGAGGTAGGCACTGCTCCCAGCGAGAGGGAAAAGGTGGGCTCTGACCCCAGCGGACTGACTGTAAAAAGAAAGCAGACAAGGAACTGAAAAGGCGTGAAGGTCGCCGGCCGGCCGTCTCTGGCAGGTAGGGTTCGTGGTGCTCACTGAGGATCCTGGGAGCACATCTCTGCACCTGAGCCAGGCCCTTGCCAGGGATTCTAGTTTCATTGCACTTTCATTTTGCGCATTCGTTTTATTTGATTAGACCAGCGGTTCTCAACCTGTGGGTCGCGACCCCTTTGGCGGTCCAACGACCCTTTCACAGGGGTCGCCTAAGACCATCCTGCATATCAGATATTTACATGACGATTCATCACAGTAGCAATATTACAGTGATGAAGTAGCAATGAAAATAAATTTATGGTTGGGTCACAACATGAGGAACTGTATTTAAAGGGCCAGAAGGTTGAGAACTACTGGATTAGACATGTAGGTTTTGATGACACACTTTTTAATGCTTACTCTCTCCCAGGCATCGTGCTGGCTGAACATTTTAAATCTGTGGCAAGTCCCTCCCAGCATCGCTCCGAGGCAGCCAGTTTTACCCCATCCCTGTGGGTGGGAACACAGCATCCCTCAGAGACGTGGACCCCCACCCCCCCGCCCCGGGCTTTGGGGCCGTACAGCAGCAGCAGCAGCAGCAGCTGCGAACCCCGCCTGTGTGGTTTCCAGACTCGCGTGCATTAGCAGAAGGCCATGGGGTGGCCCTCACGGACGGCTACATTCTGTTTCAGAGAAGTCTGTTGAGGAAGGCTGGGCAACATGTGTGACATTTTGGAAAATTTTCTATCAAAAAAAAAAGATTCAATTTTCACAAGTGCTGGTGCTTCAAAGGGTCTAAGTGTGGGTTATCGGGAGGAGCACATGTGGGAAGCAGCTCTCTCCCATCCCTCCATCAATGAGACAGTCTTGAATTTCAATGATCTTATAAATGCAACGTGAGTGATAAATTTTAACTCTATTAAAGCTGTTTCATTTAGAAGATGGAATCTATTCTTTGGTCATGGTCATGTCACTTTTTTTTTTTTACTGCATCTTTCCAACAGAAATATTTGCGGGCCATCCCCGAGTCCCTTCCTGGGTTCTTTACAAGGTGAGGAGGAAGGACCAGGGGTGGGTGGGGGAGGGCTGGCGGGAAGGTGAAGCCGGCCGCGCTGTCCAAATGGTTGCCAGAGAGGCCGGGCTGCCATTTATTTCATCTCCCTAGTTGTTTCCGTATGGGACGGACAGCTGCTGACTCCGGGGTCTTCGCCGGGAATGAAAGAGCGAGGACCAGGAGGCTGGAACTCAGAGGCGGTGGCGGAGGCCTTTCCTTCCAGGATGACGGCATCGCGCTCCTCACGGGGGCTCTGCTCGCCTGCCCTGGACACCCACGGTCCCCCGCATCCCCCACGCAAGATTTCCCTGGAAATGTGATGTTTGTCTTTGCTTTGGGATGACCATCCCGCAGGCAGATGAACACATCTGTCCGAGAACTGGAGCCCTGCTACTGCAAAGTGGCGCTGGCCATGGCAGTTCCCAGGAGGGGCCCCGAGGACACAGGTCCCTGTCCCCGGGCTGGGCTCTGGGCCCCCACCACGGCGGGTTCAGATGTGCCAGGAGGGGACTCGGGGGGCGGGGGCCACGCTTACTATCAGGCTGCCTCTGACAATGCCTAATGTAATCCATACACTACACATACATTCTAGTTACACAATTTATGAGGTATAACAAGGGGAGAGAAGTGAAGCGGGCTTATAATTGTGACTGATGTGAAACAGACATGTAGAATGAATGGCCTTACAACATTTTCTTTGAAGTTGGTTAAAAGCAGTAAAGTGATCTTCGCCGTAAGTGAAACCTGCTGTTGCGGGTACCCACTGGCGTGGGGGACGTTTTTCCTGTGGACTCTGTTTCTTGAATGTTAATCCGCCACTCGGACGTTTTGAAAACGTTTCTTTCGCTGCGCGGTGGGAGAGAGAGAGAGAGAGGCTGCACACTGTGGAACGCCTACTACGCGCCCATCCCGTGTCAAGCGCGTGGCCCAGGGAGCCCCAGTGGGTGCAGCGCTAGCGCCCACGGGAATGTTTTCATTTGAATTTCTTGGAAAGCCAGAAGAAAATAATGAATATACTGATACGATACCATATTAATTAATTCCCATAATAAAATTAGAATAATGATAATGAACATAACAAGGAATCCAGTCTGGACTGTGTTTGCCCTCTGCTAATTTTTTTTTTTTATGGGAAAAGGGCCCACGAGGCAGAGGGCTGAGGGCCCGCAGACCTCACATTGTGGCCCTGGTTGATAGACACCATCTCACTGGTTCTCCCGAGCGACTGTGAAAGGCAGGAAGGCACGGGGAGAGCGATGCCTCAGAGACTTCAGGAATTTTCCGAAGGTCCTACAACTGGGACGAGGGAGAGCCAGGTTCTGAAGGCGATGGTCTGACTCCTCCCACGGGAGAAGAGCTTCATGTTCAGGCGGTTCTATATGGGAACGCCTGCCTGCGGCCGGGCAGAACGCCATCTGGACATTTGTTACCAAAGAAATGAATGGAAGTCCATTCTGCGGTGGCCATGTGTTTATCCCAAGACTATAGGAAGATGTCTAGAAAGGTACGCCACTCAGATGTCCCCAAGTTTACCTGCTTCAAGGTCAGGATTGTCTTTAACATTCACGTAACCCAGGCCTGATCCTTGGAGCCATCGTCTTCCCTCTCTTCCTCCTGGGGTCTCTGTGTTCCCCTAACCAGTCCTGGTTCACACTGACAGTCTCCGCTAATAACCTCTCAGCCGGTTATGAAGGTCACTTTTTGGGCAGGTTGCCACAGCTTTCTCCTCCCAGGGATGCACCCCCCCCCCGCCCCCTCCCCCGTTCCCCAAAGCACAGCTAAGACTCAGCTGGGACTCCCACCAGGTTTTCCTGAAGTCTTGGGGGGTATCAGTACCACAACACAAAGGGCAACCTATGGCTGATACCTGGGCTGACCAAGTGTCTCAGTCAGCCAAGACTAAGGGGCCCCGGCTGGGAATTGAGCTTTTTTTTCTCATCAACAGTGTTACTTGAGGACCTGCTGTATAATAAATACCATTGGACTGTATACTTAAAAAGCACAAATTTTCTCATGTGAATTATATTTCAATAAAAACTATAATGACAGACTGAGCAATGGTTGCCTCAGAATCGGGGTGTGGAGGGGGATGGGCAGAAAAAGAAGAAGGAATTTTCTGGCATGATAGAAATGTTTCCAATTTGTGAGGGGTGTGAATTGTATGGCTGTATGGATTTTTCAGAACTCATCTGACTATAACAGATAAGATCTGTGCACTTCACAGGTAAGTTTGGTCTCAACAACAACAAAAAATAAAAGGCAAAAAAAAAATCTTAGCAAAATTGGAATTGAATACTTTAGGTATGATAATTTTATCATTTACAAGGTGTCCCCCAAAAATGCATACACACTTTAACTGCTGAGATAGCTCAATTTTGAAAATGAAATGTATTTTAATAAACACTGCCTTTATAATTATTCAAAGTCTGTGTATACATTTTTGGGACACCTTATATATAATCTAAAACCCATAGTCAACCCCTTGCTCACTCCTGAACCCAATCATGTCATTGCAGTTGGAACTAAGACCAACGTGCCCTGTTATGGGTGATACGTGTTCACAAGGTTCTGCAGGTGCTTGCCAGTGTAATTAGTGAAAGTAAGAAATGAGGAGTCTTCCTTAGGAAAGAGGTGGCAAAAATACCGTTATTTACGTTATTGAAGTTGTCTACCTGGACAACTGAAGAAACACTGAGAATTGTTAGAACAAAGAGGGTTCACCATCCTAATTGTGAAACCAATAGCTTTCCCATCTATAATAATAAAAGCATAATATGCTAATTAGACCAGATAGCCGAATAACCTTCTGGACGTCCTTCTGGACAACCTGGTTGAAGCCAGGGCTGCGAGGGCTGAGCCCCTTGCACGAATTTTGTGCATTGGGCCGCTAGTATAAGAATAAACAAACATTATTTAGAAAATATAGTGGTTAAAACAATTCCATTTAAAGAATTAACAAACACACAAAATGCCTAAGACCAATATAAAGAAAGTTATTGCCTGACAGCATTGCTCAGTAGTTGAGTGATGACCTCTGAACCAGGAGGTCATGGTTCAATTCCTGGTCAGGGCACATGCCCAGACTGCAGGCTCGATCCCCAATGTGGGGTGTGCAGGGGGCAGCCAATCCATGATTCTCTCTTCACTGATGTTTTTATTTCCCTCTCCCTCTCCCTTCCTTGCTGAAATCAATAAGGATATTTTTTTTTTTAAAGAAAGTTATTAAACTCTCCCCAGGAGCACAAAAAGAACTTCAGTAATTCAAGGGAGCATGTCATCTTTTCACGGATGCACTCAATATTATAAAGATTTTTAATGGTACTTGAAACAAAAAGATTAAAATGAGCATGGGAGTGTAAATGTGCAGGCATGGTCAGAGGAAGAAGGAGAAGGGGGGGGGGTGAACTGTCTTCTCCCAGGTGTAAGAATTCATTCATTAAAGTTGGTACAGAACTGATCCAGGAAGAGGGAGGCCTCCGTGGAGCCAAAGATCAAGCATCGCTATGGATTGGGAAAAAGTAAAGGTCACATTGAAATAATTAGAGGAAGATTGGATTGTGCACCAAATCATGTTGGCAGTTGCCTGAAGTGAGTTCCCGAGGAAGCCACGTTGGTTGCCTGCAGCCCAGTCCCTTCTATCCTGCCTGGTAACAGCGCCCGCCCCAGAGAAGAGAGGCTTGTCCACAGCACCAGCAGCCAGGCTCCCAGAAGGATTTCAGCTCAGCCCGGTCACCTCGAGTATTGAAAAATTTCTGCATCAGGAGCGTTCTTTCGTTCTTTCTCTCTCGTTCCTATTTCCCTTTTGTTTAGAGATTCCAGGGGATTCTCCCTACAGATGCCCCTGGCGAGGGCTAGATCCCGTGCTCCCCCTGTGGCGGGGGGAAAGGGCGAGGTCTGAGTCATGCAAAATACCTGGAAGGCATTGTTTACCACACAGTGATTCTGTGTCCAGAAAGAGGAGGAGGACAGCTAAAGGGCAACACCAGCCAACGTTCACTAACCTGTGTCAAGAGTCCTCACAAATCGATAAGAACGAGTCTTCTCAAAAGAATGTGAAGAGCCATGAAGAACCATCCTCAAGGATAATT